GGCAAGATTATAAGAGAATTATAACAGTGCTTAAGTAGGAATAAATGGTAATACAGATATTATTAAAGAGTATCTTTACTAACAAGTAATAAAATGTGAATGGGAAATCTGGGAAGATAACACAAATTGGGTCACACAAGGAGCTGTGTGGGATACGTGGGATAATGAGGTAGTAAATACTATCCAGGAGGTGATAGTACAGGGATTAATTCAATAATGGTATAATAACATACACTAACATAGTACAATGATTTGGTCACTAATATCAGTTAGATTCTGTAATGTTTGCATCATGAAGGAAGTTTGCTAGTTTGTTTTCATTTGTAATATAGTACACACGGCCTACATTTGTTTTTCTTACTAGAATTTGTCCATCACGTACAAAGCACTGGTGAATTTTATCATTATTCTCACATTTGTTTTCTCACTCTGTACAGGAGGTTCTGTCGTTTTCTTGTGAGACACTCATTTATGTATATATCTTTTTTTGCTTTAATAGATGAACTTATTATATCTTTTTTTCTGTCTTGTGTGTAAAATCTTAGCATAACACTTTTTCTTCCTTGGTTCCCTGGTAACCGTGATTCTTTTATTTCCAACATTGGCACACTAACATGTAGGTGGTCTTGTATGATCTGGAGAGTTGTAGCTTTGCAGTTGGTATGGTTTAATTCACTAGGAAAGAGTAGACTGTTAATCACTACTGCATCGGTTAGCTTATCTTGCTCTTCCTTATCATCTTGGTAAACAAAATAATTGTTCAATTGGGTATCCATATTTATTTTCCAGTCCTTGATGGCATCTTCAGTCTTCGTGTTTAGGGAAGCTATTTGATCTGTGTGACTGGCTGTGACTGATTGGAGGGTCTTGCCAAAATCAGTCGTGCCAGTTGATGTTAGCTGTTGTTCAAGGCTGTTGATCTTAGATTCATAGTTTGTTATTGTTGCGCGAAGAGAGAGATTTTCAGCACGAAGATTCAAGTTATCCACCGTTAGGGTGGTGATGTAATTCTTTAGAGTGTCAGGATCATTAGTCATACCTGGGAGCGTATCAGATGGGTTAAATCTTATGAAGGTAGTAGATGTAGAGAGGGAGTCAGTCACGGTTGGTGTTGTAGCTGAGTCGCCTTGGTTGGTGGGTGAGGGGGAGTCGGCCATGTTTGTTGTTGATGTGTCGCTCAGGGTGGTGAAGGGGGGTGGATGGAGAACCAGCGTTCTGCTGGGTTGTCTTATGGAATAGTCGGTTTCTAGGTGCTGCCTTGCTGTTCTTAGTGCTGCTTCTTCTATGAGTTGGTCTCATAGTACAGGAGTTACTGTGGTTAGATGAAGAAACTAAGTTAGTTAAGAGCTTGGAGTAGGTAGTCGTCTGGCAGCAGGGCTGTGCTTGGAGTTTGTGGGGCAGTCTTTGCTTCAGTCGGTAACTTTTTGGTTTGTAGGTATCACTGTTGTTTATCTTGGGTCATGCTGGGTTCTACGTATGTTAGTGCAGTTATGATTGCAATTAGGCCATCATAGAAGCGTTGATGGGCTCTGCATGTGAGAAAAATGACAGAGCTTGCTGCCTCTGCTGCCACTGCCTCCGCTACACGATATTAGAAAGTCAGGTGGGGGAGCCATATAGAGAGTTTTGGTCATAATTTGAAATGTCCGTATTAGTGGAACGCCATAAAGCAGGGCCCTACTGTATAAGTAGTGTGGCCTAAGTGTATGTAGAAGTAGCAAGATACTCCATGGGGAAGTGGAACAGAATTGTTCCTCCATAAGCCGTGTGTGTCATAAGAGGTGACTAAAATGCTGGGAGCAAGGAGATCGGAACCCCTTCTCCTGTATGTACATATCACTATATTTAAAAGGAGAAACTTTTGGTTTTGGGCCACCCAGCCTCGGTGGGATATGGCTGTTTGTTGAAAGTAGTAGTAGCAAGATGTACAGTGGATCCTCAAAAATCGAACTTAATCTGTTCCAGGAGCTAGTTCTAAATTCGAAAAGTCTGAAATTCGAAGCAATATTTCCCATAAGAAATAATGGAAATACAATTAATCCATTCCAGAAACCCAAAAATATTCACAAAAAAAATACATTTTATAGAGATTAATTACAGTTTTACATACAACAAATGCTATAGTCTTTAATTATGTATAGTAATATAAAATAAAATTTTTACTTACCTTTATTGAAGATTGGTGATGGCATCTGGAAGATAGGGAGGAGGAGAGAGGGAGTTGGGGTTAATGTTTGGAAGGAGAATCTCCCTCCATGAGGACTTCCAGTATCAAAGCCCTCTCTGGGGTTGCTTCCCTTCTCTGTATTTTAACGCCACTAGGACCAGCTTGAGTCATTGGACCCCAGTCTCACAAAATAACTGTCTACAGTCCTCTGTTTGTCTCACAAAATAACTCCACAGTCGTCTGTTTCTGTCTCACAAAATAACTGTCCACAGTCCTCTGTACATCCTGGCAAGCTCAACAAGTCTCACTCCAATCTCATACTTCTGTATTATTTCCTTCTTCACATCTATGGTGTTTCTCACTTTCTTTACCACAGGGGTACTGCTAGCAAGTTTCTTTGGGCCCATGGCAGCTTATTTCACAGCCCCACAAGCACTAAACACAATTAAATAATCATAAAATATGTGAATGAGATCGCAGGTTAGTGTTCACTCAAGCATAAACAAAGCTAGACTGCTCATGGCGCCTGCACGGGGACACGGACAGAGCGGGCCAGCGGACAGGTCCCGTACCCGGCGGTCCGAAAATAGGGGCGCGTTCAATAATAGGGACACAGTTTGTCCGAAAAAATGGTCTTATTTTTGAAACGTTCGATATGTGATACGTTCGATTTTTGAGGTTCCACTGTACCTGTTTTCATGTGTATTTATGAGACAGCAAGAAAGGACACCAGGAATCCTACCATTGTGTAAAACAATTACAGGTTTCTGCTTCACACTCGCATGGCAGGATGGTAGTACCTCCATGGGTGGTTCCTGTCTACCCTCCTACTACCACTGGACAGTAGTACCCCCATGGGTGGTTGCTGTCTACCAGCCTACTACCTCCAATAATTAATGATGCTGAAAAATTCTTGTAATTATTCCTTTCTTGTTTTCAGATACTTGCATTCATACAGGAGGTTGGACAAAATAATATGAACACATTATGTAACTTCTTTATTTTCAGTGTGGAGTTGAGCCTCCATTTGCAGCTAAAACAGCACCAGTTCATCGAGGAAATGATTAGTATAGCATTTGAACAGTATCCCTGGAAATTTTGAGCCATTTCTCCAGCAAAACTTGCTCAAAATCTTCCAGATGATGGTGGAGGAAATTAGTTCCTGACCTGCTATTCCAACTGACCCCACAGATGCTCAATAATATTTAGATCCGGCATTTATGGGGGCCAATTCAAGTGTTCGACTTCACTTTCATGTTCATGCCAATTTTGAACTCTAGCGGTGTGAATTGGTGCATTATCATCTTAGAAGATAATGCATTTAACATGTAGTTACTATGTACTATTATCTGTCTAGTTTTAAGTAGTTTCTATGTATTAGGATTAGTCTGCCCGAAATGCCCTGGGGTGATAGTGGCTTTTGTTGTGCTTAGTAAACCAGAATTGTAATTACACATTGCAACCATTACTTTAAAACATTTAAATTGACTATTCAGTCATTCAGCAGTTCAGTCAGCAGGTGTTCATATTATTTTGTCCATGATTGATGGTTTGTAGCTTTAAAGAGATAGGCTGCCTGCTTGTTTGTTTTGTTTGTCATTAAGTAATACCATTGTAAACATGTACCTACTTTGTTTCCCTAATTGAGCAGCTCCCATCTTTGAATTAGTTATTTTTCAGATGAAATTTATATTTAGGAATTAGATTACGAAACTATTACTGCAAATAGCCACTGCAATGAGAACTCAAGTTCATGAATTGAATGTTGAGAGGATTGTGTGGGTGGTTCTGTGAGCAGTTGCTTGTTGTGTTCCCCCCAAGGTTGCATATGCCTGTCTGTCGGTGCCTGACCTGTCTCCCTTTCTTCTTCTTCTGGTGTCTTCTTTCTTTCTTTCTCAGTTGTTCCCATTCTTTGTGTTCTGTTGCAGTCAAGGTATACTCACTGGTATTTTTGGTGGCCCTTTAACAGTGGTTTCTGCTGCAAGATCTTGTTTTGTACCATTTCTGTCTTGAATGTCAGTATGATTGGGCATTTATTTTTTCCTTCAAATACACCCCAAGTCTCTGGAAATTTGTCAGCTGGGTCATGTCCTTCTCTCTTGTTATGCCGATAATGCTCTTCTCTTACCTCCCCTGTCATCTTTCATCATAGGTTCTCCCTTTTACTTCTTGAAGCTCATGAATAATCATCTGTTGTGTGTCATATTTTGAGGGAAAGTGGGTGGTAGTAATGTCTAAATTTGTTGTTTGTATACCTTTAATGCCCTTATATATAGTCTTAAGTAGGCTTAAACTTGCCTGAAATGCTCTGTATAATCATGTTTTTCTGCATGCACAACCAAATATCACCCATCTATATTTATTTATTTATTTATTTATTAATTTGGACATGATACATAGAAGTACAAAGAAATACAGTGGTTAAGTGTAACATGCCAAAAGCCCCTTGTATGCAGAGCATTATGGGCAGGCTTAAAATTAATTTAAGATTAACTAAGCAATGATATATTCAGTGGTAAAATTATAGTAAAGAAATAACTTAGACTTGACTTTCAAATTGGGCTGGGTTTCAAAATAAGCTTAATCTCAAAAATCAATGGTGTCAAAAAAAAAAAAATCTGTTATAATCTGAGCTTCAGGATAATTAATAATCTCCTTCATTCAGGTTTGCAGTACTGTCTGTACCACTTAAACTTTTCTACAGGTGGCCTCTGCATAACTTTGTGTTCATGTTGAGCCAGTCTTTCATGCTTACTAAGCTTTTCTTTGGTAAACTTAGCTTTGAAGTGACTTAAGTGCTGCTTCTATTTATTAAGTGCTTCATCTTTGACAGAGCCATGTGCCAAGACCTGTCCAAGTCAGTTAGTGAACACAATTGCCAAAGCTCAGAAACTTACTGGCTGTACCAAGATTGATGGTCCACTCATAATCAGGTAATATACAACACTAGCATTATGCTCAATGCACTTAAGAATGTGTTAAAATTTGCAATAGGCCTCAAACTATTTAAATCCATTGTTCATACTAACAAAGCACTCCAAATGTTTATACAGTTTAGCCCCAACTTGAAACACTAATGCATTGCTGATTTTTTTTTTCTCTTGACACCCATCTTATAAATGGAGATGTGTTCCTGAGGTATAATATCCCTTAATTTCATTTACTTTGAAGACTATTTACTTAATATTTTTACATTCAGTATTGTTTTCCACTTACAAATAGTTAAACACTGTTTAATTAATGTATATCACACATGTTAATTAAGGAGAACATAGCTACAATACAATATATAGGGTACAGTGATCTCTCACTGAACCAAAGTTCACTTCATGGAATTTTGGTTAACAATTCATGTAAGTCTAGAAGCCTTCCTCTGTTGGCTGAGAGAGGCCAATATATCTGTAATATGAAGGAAGGCACTGGTCAGAGATATAGCAAATATCGAACTTAAGCTAAAGGAATCTTGCAGGAGACAAGAAACACAGGAAGAACTAAAAGTCCTAAATGAAATTGATTGGAACCCAAAATATTTCTTGTTTTATGCCAAATCTAGGTCAAGAGCAACATCCAGTATTGGACCCCTACTTGAAATGAAAATGTTTATTTCCTTGCAAAGCTTACAATGTGTGGTTTACATATTATAAAATATTTATTATGAAGAAGGACACTAGCATGTAAAGGCATTTCGGGCAGACTAATCCTAATTCTTACTCCAGTATGACTCGGTTTTTAGCAAGCTGCTAACCAGACTGAGAGTTGAAGATGTAAATAAATTTTTTATGAGTGAGACACAAAATTTGGTAGACTCAAACCTATCTGATGTTATCCTGATGCCAAATGACTTCAAAAAAGAGAGAAATGACATGCCCATGCACTCTGCCCCAGGCCCATATCATTAAAATCTTTGAAAGGGTTCTAAGAAGCAAGATTGTCACCCATCTAGATACCCATCAATTACACAACTCAGGGCATCATGGGTTTAGAGCAGGTTGCTCCTGCCTGTCCCAACTACTCGACCACTCTGACAAGGTCTTGGATGCTTTAGAAGACGAACAAAACGCATATGTATACACAGGCTTTGTGAAAGCCTTTGACAAGTGTAAACATAGTGTAATAGTGCTCAAAATGTTCGATAAAGAAAAAACAAGAAAAGTTGGTAGATGGATCTATAATTTCCTAACAAACAGGACACAGAGTACAGCTTCTCCTCACTTACCGAGGTCCTCGTTTATCGACAACCCTGAGTTACGGTGGGCTCTCTGACGAGTCGTTATTGTATACTATACAAGAACTTGGGTCATGAACGAGTAGCACAGCATCTCAGAGTCAAGCATCTGAATCTCCTTCCTACAACCACTCAGTACACTAGCTTTCACAGTCTCCAAATTTCCTGATGACGCTTTGCAGATCACTTGTTCTATCTAGGCTAGAAAATTGCTGCACAATAACAAAGCCTTTCAAGGCAAGTGAAATTGTTGACCTAGAAAATGTAGAGAGAACCTTCATGACACACACAAGTATGATAAAACACCTTAATTACTGGGAACGGTTAAAGTTCCTTGACTTGTATTCCCTGTAATGCAGGCGGAGGGATACACTGGCCCATGGCCTGTTGGTAAAAGCTCTTGCTTCACACAGTGAGGGTCTAGGCTCGATTCCCAGTGAGGGTTGAAACATAGGGCATGTTTCCTTACACCGGTTGTCTGTGTTCACCCATCAGTAAAATGGGTACCTGGGTGTTAGTCGACTGGTGTGGATCACATCCCGGGAGAAAACTGACCTAATTTGCCCAGAATGCTCTGCATAACAAGCGGCTTTCTATATACAGCCTCTCCTCACTTACCGATGTACTCATTTACAGACATCTCTGAGTTAAGCAGGGGTGTCACTAGCACGTTAAGAGACCATACAATAAGTGTCAGGGGCCCGAGACTGTTCAACTGCCTCCCAGCATACATAAGGGGGATTACCAACAGACCCCTGGCAGTCTTCAAGCTGGCACTGGACAAGCACCTAAAGTCGGTTCCTGACCAGCCGGGCTGTGGCACGAACGTTGGTTTGCGTGCAGCCAGCAGCAACAGCCTGGTTGATCAGGCTCTGATCCACCAGGAGGCCTGGTCACAGACCGGGCCGCGGGGGCATTGACCCCCGGAACTCTCTCCAGGTAAACTCCAGGTAACTCCAGGCTCTCTGACAAGTCAGCATTGTATGCTGATCTTATGTTCTTATGAGGGCAAATATTCTATTAGTGGGATGGATCTCTGAAGGACCTGCCTAGTATGGGCCAACAGACCTGCTGCAGTGTTTCTCCTTTCTTATGTTCTTATGTATGCCACATATGAACTTGGGTCACGGAAATGGGCAGCACAGTGTCTCAGCATCACATATTAATCTCCTCCTTATAGCCACTCAATACACTAGCTTTTAAAGTCTCTGAGAATACATATTTGTACAAATTTGTATTTGATTGTGCACCCCATAGTACAAGATAGAAATGCAGCAGCACTTGGAAGAGGAGAGAGAGGAAAATGGAAGAAGGACAAAAGAAGTTCATAGTCAAAGGGTTAGCTGGTGTGTTCGTATGTTTGTTTACATTCTCGGTGTCTCTCATGACAGCTTAATTAAGAAAAGATTAAACTCGGTGAATAAGGTATGTTGATGGTAATAATAATAATAATAATAATAATAATAATAAAAAAATATAATCAACAATAAAATATAATTAATAATCGCTCTAGACTGCTTTAAATGTCATACCTCTTTAAATGTCATACCTCTGTATGTGTGCTCAAATTGTAATAAATATATAAATAAATAAATAAATAAATAAATACATATTTCATATAGGTTTGGTTGCTGACATTTAAAGCACTCCAGAGTGATTATTATTGTTATTAATTATTATTGTTTATTATTATTATTAATTGTTTATTATTATTATTATTGTTTATTATTATTATTATTAATTGTTTATTATTATTATTAATTGTTTATTATTTTTTTATTTTTTTTTTTTATTATCACACTGGCCGATTCCCACCAAGGCAGGGTGGCCCGAAAAAGAAAAACTTTCACCATCATTCACTCCATCACTGTCTTGCCAGAAGGGTGCTTTACACTACAGTTTTTAAACTGCAACATTAACACCCCTCCTTCAGAGTGCAGGCACTGTACTTCCCATCTCCAGGACTCAAGTCCGGCCTGCCGGTTTCCCTGAATCCCTTCATAAATGTTACTTTGCTCACACTCCAACAGCACGTCAAGTATTAAAAACCATTTGTCTCCATTCACTCCTATCAAACACGCTCATGCATGCCTCCTGGAAGTCCAAGCCCCTCGCACACAAAACCTCCTTTACCCCCTCCCTTCAACCTTTCCTAGGCCGACCCCTACCCCGCCTTTCCTTCCACTACAGACTGATACACTCTTGAAGTCATTCTGTTTCGCTCCATTCTCTCTACATGTCCGAACCACCTCAACAACCCTTCCTCAGCCCTCTGGACAACAGTTTTGGTAATCCTGCACCTCCTCCTAACTTCCAAACTACGAATTCTCTGCATTATATTCACACCACACATTGCCCTCAGACATGACATCTCCACTGCCTCCAGCCTTCTCCTCGCTGCAACATTCATCACCCACGCTTCACACCCATATAAGAGCGTTGGTAAAACTATACTCTCATACATTCCCCTCTTTGCCTCCAAGGACAAAGTTCTTTGTCTCCACAGACTCCTAAGTGCACCACTCACTCTTTTCCCTCATCAATTCTATGATTCACCTCATCTTTCATAGACCCATCCGCTGACACGTCCACTCCCAAATATCTGAATACGTTCACCTCCTCCATACTCTCTCCCTCCAATCTGATATTCAATCTTTCATCACCTAATCTTTTTGTTATCCTCATAACCTTACTCTTTCCTGTATTCACCTTTAATTTTCTTCTTTTGCACACCCTACCAAATTCATCCACCAATCTCTGCAACTTCTCTTCAGAATCTCCCAAGAGCACAGTGTCATCAGCAAAGAGCAGCTGTGACAACTCCCACTTTGTGTGTGATTCTTTATCTTTTAACTCCACGCCTCTTGCCAAGACCCTCGCATTTACTTCTCTTACAACCCCATCTATAAATATATTAAACAACCACGGTGACATCACACATCCTTGTCTAAGGCCTACTTTTACTGGGAAAAAATTCCCTCTTTCCTACATACTCTAACTTGAGCCTCACTATCCTCGTAAAAACTCTTCACTGCTTTCAGTAACCTACCTCCTACACCATACACTTGCAACATCTGCCACATCGCCCCCCTATCCACCCTGTCATACGCCTTTTCCAAATCCATAAATGCCACAAAGACCTCTTTAGCCTTATCTAAATACTGTTCACTTATATGTTTCACTGTAAACACTTGGTCCACACACCCCCTACCTTTCCTAAAGCCTCCTTGTTCATCTGCTATCCTATTCTCCGTCTTACTCTTAATTCTTTCAATTATAACTCTACCATACACTTTATTAATTATTCATTATTATTATTATTATTATCACCATCGACATACCTTGTTCACTGCGTTTAATCATTTCTTAATTAAGCTGCCATGAAAGACAGGATGTAAACACACCCATATGAACACACTAGCTAATCCCTTTACTGTGAACTTCTTTTGTACTTCTTCCATTTTCCTCTTCTAAGTGCTGCTGCACTTCTAACTCTATCTTGTACTATGGGGTGCACAATAGTTAAAGTGCAGCAGCACTTGGAAGAGAGAAAACAAGAGGAAAATGGAAGAAGTATAAAAGAAGTTGACAGTAAAGGTGTTAGCTGGTGTCTTCATGTGTGTGTTTACATTTTTGGTGTCTCATGGCAGCTTAATTAAGAAATTATTAAGCTCAGTGAACAAGGTATGTCAATTGTAATAATAAAAA